AAACGAATCGAATAAACTACACATAGTTTTTTGGGGAAAACTCGAAAATCTTTTTCGTATTAACTAATAATGTATTCATTGCTTTTAAGCGCTTTACCCACTAACATTCGGGAATTAAGAAATTGAATCCAACCATTTGAACCAAAATACGACACCTAGATAGTTAAAGTTCTCGACTGTTTCTAAAATGTAATTCCATCGTATGTCAATTTTCTCATCAATTATTTAATCTACCACTCTTTCGAAATACACCATCACTTTGGAATTTTCCGTGTTTTACTTTCAAAACCCCATCGATCACAAATGTGTTTAAGTCATTTAAACTCAGTTGAAGATCCTCGATGTTATCCGATAATAGCACCATATCGTCTGCATATAGGAAAAGGATTAGTGTTATTTCGCCATTATTAAGACCAACTTCCTGGTCTAGATCCTAGGGAATAATTCTAGGTCTTCATATAAACATAGACCAGAAAAGAAGGTGAACAGATTTCTCCTTGTTTTAGACCAACGATTAAGTCCATGAAATCCGAATATTGGTTACAGTGCCTGACACGGCATCTCACGTATTCATACATTGATCTTATATATCCGTAGCAATTTACCATTTATTCCAAGTTTATACATTTTAAACCATAAAGCATTTCTGTAAACGCTGTCAAAACACTTTTTTCATATCTATAAATGTAGCATAAAGTCTTTTCCCATTATGAAAACTACTTTCTTTTATACTATTTAAACAGAAAACGCATCTGTAGTGGAAAACCCCTTTTTTAAAATACCAAATTGTGAGTCTGAAATAACATCATGCGTAAAACACCACTGAAGATAATCTAGCATTTAGAATAGAAGTAAACAATTTTGCTAGAACACTGATTAATGTAATTCCCCTATAGTTATTCACGTCGTTTTTCGTCGCCTTTCTTGAAAAGCGGTATTATTATCTCCATCCATCCAGGCAAAAGGAAAATAGCCACTGGAGAATATCTTGTCAAATAAGTCAACCAAGTGTGACGTGAGAATAATCACTCCTTCAATTAAATATTCATTTATAATTTCATCACTCGATGCCGCCTCCACGCTTAAGACTTTTTTGATCGCTCGAGTATACTTCAGAGGCTTGTAATAACAACATCCAGCTCCTCAAATATAGGGTTGTCCGCAGTCAGGTTTTCACTACAAAATTGCTCGCTGTTTTCATCAAAAGTAATATTTATTTCTTGTGAAAGATTCTTGAAGTACTCATGAAATTGTTCAACAGATATACTACCCCTTTCATATCTTTTTTCTTTCCAAAAGTCCTTTGGTTTTTTCCTTTTTTAAATCCTCGATTTCTTTCATTTTGACATGTTTATATTTATTACGTTTTGATTTCACAATCTTTTTATACAAACGTTTTTTACACATAAGATTAATCCTGTTTTCATCAGTTTTAAATTCATTAAAAACAACGCAATGCTTCAATATAATCCCGTTTTGATTCTCTACACGTTATATCAAACCATTCCGCGGGTTTTATAACGGCTTAGCTTGCAAATTGCTTCGGTTTTGAAGGACAATTTTTTATTTTCCTTTGAGAATATTGGCTTCGCCACACAGTTTATTAGATTAACAAATTCCCCTACAGCATTATCTACTGTAGACTGGTTTACAGTTTCTAATGTGCCCAAAACATTATTAAACTGGGGCAATTTAGATATCAGACCTCGTGACGTCGTCTAAAGGCTTCTTATCTGGGTCCCATCTAATTAAGTTTGATGTACTTTGTTCAACACATGATGTATTATAACTGTTTATGGCAATACTGAAGCAAATGATTGCATGATCTGAGAACATGTTGAAATCAGATATGTTAAATGTCTGGATTAATCTGTAATCCTCTTGCTTACATAATAAATAGTCTATAACTCCCATTTGTATCCGCAGAATGTAATACGATTCTGTGTCTTTAAAACGCCCGTTACAAACCGTAAATCAGTGGCTTTGCACATGTCTAGAAGCTGGATACCGTTAGAGTTATGATGCGTGTCCATTGTCGACCGTTCGATTGGAATGTCCGGAACATAATCCTGTCTATCCATGACTGAATTTATTCTATCGTATAAAATATAGTCTGCTTTTCTACCAACTCTACTATTCATATCTCCCGCAATCAGTACAGTTCCTAAAGTCTGATAATAATGTATATCGCTTTCAATAATTTCAAATAGATTGCTATTGACAACATTATACGCCGGTGAATCTTGTCCCCCATATGTATGTTGCACAAATAAAAAATATCACTTTCTATCCTAAAAAAAGTCTTTGTCTATTTTAATCCAAATGATTGTGTCAAAGTGATTACAAACTACTGTTATGCCTTTTGCAATTGATTCTCGACAGTAACAACACTATACCACCACTACATCTACGTGCCCTTTTTATGCTGGAATTTGCGATAAAATTGTGAGATTTGTAACCATCGAAATTCTACTATACTATCCTGGTTAGTCCACGTCTCTAGCAAGAAAATGACATCGTAATGTTCAATCAGGTTACAGAACTCTTTATCGTCCATTTTATACTTAGTTAATCCATTGCAGTTCCACACAGCAAATGATAAATCACTCCCCTCAATATGCTACGCAACACTACCATATTTTTCGATCGCGTATATATTTTTCCATCAATTATGAGTTTATTATACTTAATATATGCTTCCTTCTTTATCATCTCTTGCCTTTTCATAATTGGGATGAGTCTCTTTTTCTTTGTGCAACAACATCTGAAGGGTATTGATCATGCATTTATAATCCGGTGGCCCTCGAGTCAACATTTTCCTTAAACGACTTTACAAACTGTTTGGTTTTTAAAGTCTTTGAAGGTAACCACAATATTTTTGGGTTTACTCCCTTTCCGAATCCCAGAACGATAAGCTCTTTCGATTTCTATAGATTCTGCTTCATCCTCCGGTATTTTTTAAATAATCCTTGAAGTATTCCTTTACTTTGGTAAACAGTTTTGATCGTTTGGTCTCGTGCTCACATTCCTTAATTCACCTATGATCAAATTGTTCATCATTTGCTTAGCTTGAATAGATGACAAAGATTCTTTTCAATTCTTTGTTTTCGGTCTGAAGCTTAGTCACTTGATTTCGTGTCGCATCCAAAGAAAAAACATGAACGTCTACCGATTTCTTCCTAAAGAATTCAGTTTGTCAGCACTTTTTGCTACCCGAGAATCAAGATCTGACCACAGCTTATTAATTTTAATATCCATTTTCTGATACCTTTTTCTCTACAAGTTCTAGCTTAGAAAGTCTACTATTCATTTCATCAAACTTTTGCACTCATAAATAACATAAGTTCTTCATTTGTAAAACATGCTTACCAGACTGGATTTGAACACATGGAGTTGGAGAGTTGTTTGCATGTTCACGGAGTGATATTGTTCATAGTTGACCCTTGTGGTGAACACTGGCCCACATTTGATGATGTCATGTATTGCTGAGTGTTTATATATCTATTCCCGTTATCCATTATGTTTATGCACCTTTGAACAGTCCGATTGACAATAAGAACCGTTAAAAACTTGATCCGTTGACCGTTGTCCAAAAATTTAATCCAATGTAAGGTACGAACCGTTCTCAACTTGTGAATTCTCAACTTGTGAATTGTCACTCAACAAAGAATGGTGACTTGAAGTGTTTTATATTTCCCGCTTTTTCTGTTCCTTTGTTCCCCTTGTTGATTTTTGGTGTTTCTCCTTTACTACTGTTTTTTCTCTTTTTGTCTTTATTTCCACCCATAACAAGTTCATATCCAACATGAAGAGACACTTATAAAGCACTATATGTAAAAATAAATTCTAAATAATCCGTATTTTCGACACAAATTGTTAAATAATTTCTCTGCAAAAATATACGACTGACAACCTTTTCTGACCTTTGACCTTTTAACGTCAATACGAATTTTTTACCTCACCTAATATGTAGCATATAGTAAAAACATACTTGTTAAGAGTACTTTTATCATGAACTAGATCTCTGATTTGGTCAAGGTTAGATAATACAGTACTCATTAATATAAAATCATAATAGTTGTCATCTCCATGAGAGCATAGAAATGTTTTATAGTATTTTATTACGTATCGAAAATATTGATCATTTGAGTGCTTTCTTAATGCTGATATAGAAACATATCTATATCATATTTTGATTTTTGTTTCATAGTTTTGTCTTCCTATCTCATTATTCGGACATGTCGTCTCCTTTGACAGCTCTTACAAATAATTAGAAAAAGTAGTGAGATTAATTAACCTTTAGAAAAAAGTATTGCGCACCAATGCGTGCCATTTAATTTGCCATTGATTCTAATTTGTTACGATGTCACTTAATAATAAATTACTTATTTAATGTCATTCAATTGAACCCGCTGGAACGCATCAAGGCTATAGAAGATGATTACACTACTATGACTTAGTTTCGTCAGCTAATTAAATGTATCAGTAACGTTAACCAATATATAAGTAGCAAAGGTAAGTGTGCATTTTACTTAGCATAAAAAAAACAACAAAATTTGAAAATCTTGCAGGCTCGTTTGATTGAGTCTGTTCATGCATGGACGGCATAAGAAAATATATAAGTATTTTTTTGAAAACCTTTGCTGTGGTAATCGTCGTGTGAAAAGTGACGCCATTATCTATTAGTAAAATAATCTTTCTTGAAATATAAAAATGTGTTTAAGCTTTTTGTCCTTTTCAGGTTAAACCCAGAACTTCAAGACACGACAATACTTATAATTGTTGAGTGCAAAACACAATGGCTTCATATAGCCCTAAACTGTTAGAAAAGAAATACAATAACTGGGTTAAAGCTCAGTTAGCTGTCTTGTTTACTAAAGATGGTCTTGAACCTTTTGTTTGTAATGAAATTCAACAATTTCAAACAGGAATGCTTAGATGATATTTGCTACAACAATGGAATTTTTTAGTGGGACTATATGCTCGGGTTCAGCACGGAAATGTTGTTAAGTGTTCCTACAAAAGGTATATGTATTGTCGGGAAGGGACAATGCAGTTTTCACAGAAATTCAAATTACATCCTAGCCGGCTGTCCAAATAGGATTTGCCATAATTTCAAATCAGGAATACAGAAAGCTCATAGGTACTCTGGTCCATCATACAAAAACACTGATGCTACCCAGTGGTGCAGTAATTCATGGGAAGTGGCTAAATGCTTCATGCCCACAGATGGGTATAAAGATAAAGCATCTGCAGCAGAAACAGACTTCAACGGTATAATCAGCGTTATCCTAAATTACAAAGACTTCAAGGGGAAAGTATATGAAAACCTCAATAATAAGATGAATATATTTGAAGAGGTAAACAATATTTAGGAACCATTTATAAAGACTTACGTTAAGTCCTTAGTTAGCTAAACAACATTATATATTTCAATGATCATAGGTATAATACAACAAATAGTATCAAATATATGATACACATTCCATTGTTTTTAATTATGCTTTTTTAATTGTTGAAAAAAAACATTGGTAAAGTTCAGAAAGAGGGTAGGTAGTGGGGTGGTGAAGAACTTTTTATGCATTTTAATTGATTATTAATATATTAGGAAGTTAACACATACTTTAACAGAAGTATTTACAATCAAGTGCCCAGAGTCATTCTGAAAGTATTTCATAATAAGAAAATCTAATTGGAGAATAGTTGACTTTTTAACATCATATATATATATATATATATATATATATATATATATATATATATATATATACATATATATATATATATATATATATATATATATTATATATATATATATATATATATATATATAGAAATAATCTTTAGAAGGCATCTCCGCCTTATCTGTTATATATTATGGCTCATTGCACATTTTATTTTCATTTAAAAAACAACAACAAATAAACAAACAAAAAACGAAAACTCAGAAAAATCCTTGTCTACCTGCAGCACTCCTACATTTCTCACAGTCTTAAATTTCAGTTTAAACCCTATACACGTAATTGTTATGACGTGTGCATGACATAATGTCGGGGTTTGTATTATTATTCATTATTTGAAATTATATCTGATGAAATTCCTGATTTTGAAACAATTTATGTTGATTTTATTGTCATACTTGTAAATAAGAGGGATACTAGTGCGAAAAAATTCAAAGCGATTAATACCCCGGTTTTGTTTGACAGTGGCCCTTTGCATACAGCAGTTGTAAAAATGCAACCGTCAGACCACTTCCTTAGTTATAATTTTTTAAGTCAACATACTCTTTTTGTGTTTATTATACATTTTATATACATGTAGTTGTAAGTATTGTTTTCTAATTTAACAGAACATTTTTCAGTTAAGAGTATAGTTTGTGATCAATTTATAGGTTTTAAGTAAAAGTAAATAGGAATTTGTATTCCATTTTGACCAGGCAAGAGAAATTGGAAAAAATGTGCGACATTCTTCCTCGCTTGAAGTAGAGGATTCAGATCTTCAGAAATACTTTCAACTTTTACAGAAATTACTTTCTGATCCCGTATATTTAGCTACAGACACGCATGCACAGAATGCTAAACAGAAACTTACAGAGGTAAACATTTGAATACGCTAAACATTTCATTGTAAGGCTAGTGTATTTAGAATGATTAGTAATAAGTGTAATCTAAGTACAAGTGTATAAGTTCAATTAAATACTTTTATTAGATTTTTTGAGAAGCACATCATGTTGTTTCCATGATAGAAATGCACCGTTTACCTTAAGTTATTGAAGAATGTCAGAAGTGTTGTAACCCAGAATGCCTCTGGCATTTACAGAACATGAGCATTGTACGCAAACATAATAAACTATTCAGGAACAAAATAGTAGAATGTTATAAAAGTGAACCGTTTTGCAATGGCTTGTATGCAAATGTACAAACATTTTTTTTCATTTTTTAAAACAACGAAGGACTTCTCAAATACGAAAGATTCATTTTTTGGTCATTTTGTTCATTTTCACGCATAATATAAATTTATAATTTATATAATTTAAAAAAAATATATTGTCAGAATATTCAAACAAATACACGGTTATAAGTGGTTTATGCTGAAGATTCGTACTAATTTTCAAAATGTTTGTTTGTAAGCAAAGTTACGGGCAAATTTAAAATATATGTTTAATCCGTAAACCTGGTAACAATTATATGCTGGTAATGACTCGTATCATTATTTTGATCAGTATACGATTTACATACAGTGATTAACAACATTGCACAGGTATTTGTTACGTAGATACAAATTATCTTTGAAATGTACACTTCATAATAAACTGATATCAAATTCTGATGTATATTGATATATTGTATATATTTTATGGTATAATAACAGTTAGAAAATGACACTCTAGTCATTGGCAAAGATGATGTAAAGAAAGCACTAGACGATGCGGCAAAAGCAGTTATGGACAAGATGAAAGCTGGATTAGATGAGCAATATGACAGAATTAAACTAGATATAATAAAAAGAAAACAAGAATTTGAATCACAAACTGCCGAACTGCTGAAAAGACTGAATGAAGAAGGTGATAAAGAACGGACACAACTGACTGAGACGTTACAAAAAGTAATAAAGTCAGCAAGCAAAGACAAGAAAAAAGAAGAATATATTGAATATAAACAAAGTAAGTGATAAAAGATTACTCATTTATGTACTGTCACCTCATAAAATATAACTATTGAAACCCCAGCTTTGCAGTACATGATGTTCTAAGATCATCGATTCATTTTTGGATCCTATGCTATCATTAAGTTATTCTCATTATTTCTTTCCTGATTCCTAAAATCTGTATCAAATACATATTGCACTCAATCAAGCCTTCCTTTCATTTTCTGAGTCCAAACTGAATCCATATCAAATCCATTTTGTACATCGTGTCTAGCCCCGTTTACATTTTCCGAGAACAATAAGTCTATATAAAATCCATAATGGACTCACAGTGACTGCATTTGTAATATACATTTATGTAAATTAAATACTAAAATATATTAATTATTAATTGTTGATCCTAGGTGTTATCTTTAATCAAATATACTTTTTCCTCAGAAACATAATTGGTAAAATTAAAAGAGTTTGTCACACATTGTTGAGTATCATACTGATTCTAGCAAATATATTTTAACATAAGCGACTAAAGATTAACAGACCCAATACAGGGAAACAGGGCCAATGCAGAAAACAGCAAGGCCATTGTGTAAACGAAGTAATTTGATTGGTTAAGAATTATAGCCGATACGTAAGCGTTGATACGAATTTAAAAATAAGAGCCGCAATAATTCTGTTGGTATTTAAAAGTCTTAAGCCAAATAACACGGGAAATACAAAATACCCATATCAATAATACTTACGTTTATACGCAACATTGTATAATAAAGTTATGATTGTATATGGCATCATTTTTGTGAATAATCTTTTAAACTTCAAATGTATCCTCATCACTTGTTTAAACCTTTTGAAAGCAATGTATCTCAGGTATTCGATCTAAGCCTTTCATGAGCGCCTTTTGTTAAATACTTACGCTATGAATAGTACAAGTGTAGTTAGCGGCCAACAGCCTTTCAAAAACTGCGCCTCTTGACACCTAATCAAAACAGAAGTACAGGGTACTAAAGACACCATTTAAAGTCACGACTTGCCTCTAGATGGTAAAATAAAAAAAATTACTGACAACTAAATTCAAGAAAGAATGTTGACATATGCGTGAAATACATCGTGTTTCTTCTTTCGTTACTGATACAGTAGCCAATATTAAAACATTTAAATGGTCACGTATCAAAACAGTGGTTTTGAAAAAATTCCGGTATTCGGTACGCATCAATGTTCGTAAATGAGTAGGCCCTAATCGTATTTCAAGCTAAAGTTTTAATCTATATGTTGGTCTATAGGCACTTAGTTTCGGGATAAAAATCCTTTTGAAAAGTTTGTAGAACTCAAATTTAATTGAATGTAACAGTTTGTAGATGTCTCTTTTCTAAAACCTTCATTTTTCCAATGTTACTTAAGTTTTTAATTCGTCTTGTACAATTACGTAGAATGAATGAATGAATGAATGAATGAATGAATGAATGAATGAATGAATGAATGAATGAATGAATGAATGAATGAATGAATGAATGAATGAATGAATGAATGATGAATGAATTGAATGAATGAAATGAATGAATGAATGAAATGAATGAATGAATGAATGAATGAATGAATGAATGAATGAATGAATGAATGAATGAATGAATGAATGAATGAATGAATGATGAATGAATGAATGAATGAATGAATGAATGAATGAATGAATGAATGAATGAATGAATGAATGAATGAATGAATGAATGAATGAATGAATGAATGATATGAATGAATGAATGAATGAATGAATGAATGAATGAATGAATGAATGAAATGAATGAATGAATGAATTTAAATACAGAAACCAATAAGTAGGTACGATTACTAAAGAGGTACATCTATTTGAAATAAAGGGACTTAAAATATTTTTTCGAGATTTATGTTCAATTTTAATTATAACCAATAACTTGAGTTTTGAAATTAAAGATCATTCGCTCTCTCTGTATTCAAAGAATTATTATTTAAATTATAAAAAGTGACACAAAAATGAAAAGCGTTGCAACATTTGTCACTCAAATCGAGCTTAGAAATACACAACAAAACTATTTTAATTTTATTTCTATTTCATTTTTATTTATATTATTATTCATAAAAAATGACAATATTTGTATCTGAAAGCAATTTGCGAGAATTAATAACTACGGTAAATTAAATTATTCGCGCATATACCTTGCAAAAGAAATATATCCGTAACAGAAACAATATAGTGTAGTAAATTGCGAAAAATGTTTTTTTTTTGTATTAAAGTTTTTTTTTTAACAGAAAATAAACATTTTAACCTCTGCATCATTCGTATTCTTATTATTATCTGTTTTTGAAGGATACCAAAAAAAACTTCGACATAAGAACACCGACTTTTTATGTGTGTACAATTTTTATGTTTTTCTTCTTCTTTTTTTTCCATTTTATTATTTTTTAGTAGTTTCACTTTATTTATTTTATTTTGTTTTTTTAACGTCGTCTTAAAATATTAAAAGTAAGTTCTCCGCGGTGATCGCCGACAAATATCATATGAAACATGGGAAAATCCTGTGTTCAAGAATTAAGTTTTGGAAGATTCAAAATCATTTGTTATGTTTAAATTTTAGCAGTATTGCATGCGTAGAATATTTAAGACATCTATATACTGAGTATATTAACATTATAAAATAAATATCAAATCTAACACGTACAAAGTAATCTCCCTTTTTAATGTTATGACATTTTGGCCGGAATTGAAGGGAGGCTACACCTTACAGATTATGTGAAAGATCAATATCATCTAATAATAATAATAATGATAATAATAATAATTTTAATTATTATTATTATTATAAAAATCAAACGCGCGTATATTGGCTATATGCACCTTTCAGGTGTTTAATGCTTAATAAATGTTGTTGTTGTTGTTGTTGTTGTTGTTGTATACATGAAAAAGTTCTAACATTAACAAAATAAGTAATTACAAAAGACCACTCAATGGTCATAGCGGTAATATTATTAATATGTGCCTTTTCGTACAAACTTCTAACAGATTTCGGCGGTTAGCCCTTTTAAACTGAAGAAGGTTCAATGCCGACAATTTAACTATGAACTTTTTAAAGTAAATGTGTATTTTATAAAATAGCAGGCTTAAAATAATAAGATGCGTAAATTATATAAATAGAAGCTATTGTACTTGTATATGTCTTCCTTTTCGTCCGTTTTAATATGCTTCACAGTGACTAATTATTTATGTCTTTGCAATCGTAATTGAAGGGTAGATATGTTTATCAAATGTATCATCAACTCCTTTGCATTACACGATGAACAATCTAAAAATACATATGCGTCATTATACGTATATAAGTATTATAAGTATTTTTAAATTACTTGAAATAATACGCAACGTTAATGGCGTCAAACTGTAATATTTTGTTTTCTTGATAGATCCTTTTCATTTATTTAACTTTTTTTGTCTTAAAGATATCTGACTAAAGCTTGCTTCACTTGTTATATAATATATACATATAGTGTTATTTTGACATTATATCAAAATTTGAATATTTTTGTTGATGGACCAAAAACGTACCGAGCCCTTTATGTATTTTAGACATTTGAACCTTTGTGGAATTCTTCATAAATTTTCCTTAACGCAGCAGTTTTTACCTTAAAGTTTTTGATCATATAATAAAAAATTTTCAGCTGAGCAATTGAGGTTACTTAATGCGTCTCCTTTGTGTCCGGATTTAAAAAAATAAACAAAAGGAATGTTCGCCACTTAGAATTCCTGGTGGTGGTACATAAACTTAAAAGGCAGAGACGCTTATCACAACTTAACACATCTATGGGGAAAAACACTCCAGAGTCGTGGGTCCTTTTATAATTAACAATAATTATTTTGTTATAATGCTTCTGAAAACCCTACTTTAAGTCAATTTATCATGTAATTAGGTCTTTGACGCTTTGGATTTTGAATAAAGTATTCATAAACAAAGTTAAATAAAAAATTGTTTTTATTTCTAATTCTATAAAATAAAATGACATTTTTGACTACAAATATGTTTAGTGCTTTTGTTGTTGTTTTAACTACATTAAATGTAATATTAATTGAAGACGCGTCTCTAGAGAATAAAGCAAACAAAGTCAAATTAAATGCAAATGGAATTTTCGCTTAAAGATGGGTCCGCTTGAAACAGCTTATGCACTTTATTTTGCAATCAGGGTTATTCCGAATTGAAATTTAATAATAGTTGTGATTAGTCATAATTTAAACATTTATTTCGGAAAGACGAAGACATGATAAATTTGCAAATTATCTTAGGTTCGCCTTACACCCGTTTGGGACAATACGACCCTTTGCATGGAATGGCAGTAACGTGTAACATTCCAGCGTCCAGTATTGGAACATACAGGATGGTCATGGGGTACAAATTAAAGGGACTCCACTGAGGTTTTTTGAAGTGAAAAGACCGAAAATATTTTTTCAAGACTTTAGTATAACTAGATGTATGTCAAGACCAATAACTCATGTACAAAATTTCAGATCATTCGCTCACTCTGTTTCCCAGAAATAATCAATTTTATTGTGCAAATTGGCTTAATGAATGAAAACCGTTTAAATGCTTTTCACTCAAATAGGCCAAAAATCGCATAAAAATAGATTAACAATTTAATACCGTGTAAATTTATACATCATCTATTGCTTGGTTTCAAATTTAAATGTACCAGTTTATTTAAGAAAGAATTTGAAAATTCATTATTTTAGGCTATTGGACCTCAGTGGAGATCCTTTAAAGCAATGATTGGATGTTCATAATTAATGCAGAATTATATGTTTTATTGTTATATAACGTCTACCTGTATGTGCTAGGATTGTCATGTATATAATCTATTAAGATTTACGGAGTTTCCACTTGTCTGTGGTTTACCTAAATAACCACGGTGGGAGACCAGTTTTTCCCTCGTTAATAAACGGGTCATCTATAAATAGTTCAACATCATCGTAATAAAGCGTAATAAAGATGTTAACCATATATCGATATAGCATCACCCTTATAGAAATGACATCAATATATTTCAAAAACATTACACCAATTCCATATAAAATTAGAAATCAACAAATATCTACTTGTAAAAACAAACGCACCATATATATAAGCCGCATCACTTTATATGAAAACGACATAACTATATATATCAAAACCGCTTCAAAACCGCAGTCCAAACCACATCAGTATACATGTATATGAAAACAACATCACAATAAATAAGAAACACAGCACTGTCTATCAAAATCACCATATTTGAAAACGACATCACCATTTCTCAAAATTACAGCACTTTTTTAAAGTGTGTATATAAGACAGCTATGGCGTTCCATAAATAATTCCATTGACACACGTCAGCTGTACTAATAATAGCTTATAATGTTTATTACAGTAAAGCCAGTGCAAAGTTTATTTAGGTGCACTTCAAATTTAGTAATGACCGAGGCAACCTAAAGTTCATTTTTATAGAAAGATTGAATAAAGTAAAATATTAAGTGAGATGCTCAGTGAATACTTCAAAAAGGTATACTTGCGACATTTTGTGTGAATTTCAGTAACATTTTTTGTATAAGTTAATAAAAAGTTGTGTTCGTCTGCTTTTTTAGTTGAAAAAAAGGCAGACGAATACAGTTTGTATCAGTTTTTACATTATTTTGTATGTCCGATTTATTTGAATACAACGTATTGTTAAGGAATAGTAAAAAAATAATTCATATATTTTATTTCTTAGCGATTCTTTTTCGGTTTCCTTCTTTTTTATTAATGAGACATATTACTTTATAAAACATGTATACACACTGACACCATTAGAATAAATGAAAGCATATCAATGTTTCTTTTTTTTTCGTTGTTTTTTTTTTATTTCGATACGTGAATGAATTATAATAATATTTCAATTATTTCTATTGCAGAACTGAAGGATGAGCTTATTACATGGTACAAAACCAATCAGAGTACAGTTCCTCTTTCACCACTCACAGATGCTTTCCCTACACCTCTAGCCGGGTTCTACATTATGCCAGAAATTGACAAACAGACGTATCAACCAGATGGAAGGAAAGAAACAACTAGAGTCAAGTCGTTACAGGACCTGTTTACATCTCCAAGGGAAATATATTTATCAGCAGTCGCCGGATTTGGAAAAACAGCGTTTTCAAAATATCTTGCCTTGACATGGTGTCAAGCTCATCAAAAGGATGGGAATTATGGGCATTTTAAAGAAGGAGAGTTAAAGGCATTATCTGGCTTTGAGTTTTTATTTCTAGTGCTATTGAGAGATTCAGCTAAAGTTTGTGATGTTGACGACATGATTGAACAACAAGTCATACAGTACCTTCCTTGCTCATCTTCAATGCCAAAAGGTATATTAAAGGACATTCTACATGATGAAAAATGTCTTGTGATATTAGATGGACTTGATGAATGGACACATCCTGACAATGATTGTACAAGAGTTCCTAAAATTATTCCACATCGATATGCACGTGAAAAGTGTGTAATCTTGACAACGACCCGCCCATGGAAGTTTGAAATGTCAAACTTGAGTCAAATAGTCGAAACAGTAGAGCTAGTTAAACTAAATAAAGAAAATGCCAGGCAGTTTAAGTGTAATGCCATGAAGTTGTTGAATGTGAACCTTCAAGATGGTGAACTGCAAAATGAAGTTTGTAGATTTGAAGAAGCAATCAGTGACCATGACATTGAAGACATGGAATCCACCCCTCTCCTGTTACTCTATCTTATATGTTTATGGATTGCAAAAATTCCAATAGGAAATTCTGCAGTAGAATTATATACAGGCATTATTCAGCTCCTTCTATTTAGAACAGAAAAGTTACATCGAAAATTTCATTCATCGTGTGAAACATTCCCGAGTAACGTTCCTGAATGTTTCAGAAAACATAAACATTTCTGTAGTTACTACACGTTTCTGTTGACCATTGGGAAACTAGCTTTTTATACATTGTTCAGTAAGAAAAAGGAGCACACATTAGTTTTTGATAGAAATGTTGCTAAAGAATATATTAACCAAGAAGATTTGAAATCAAGCTGTCTATCAGGAATACTATCAGAAAGTAAAGTGAAAACATTAGTAAGTGAAAGTTCTAAAATCTCATTTTCTCATAAAACAGTGCAAGAATACTTTTCAGCATTATTTATAAGTTTTCAAAATACAAATGAAGTTCAGAAAATCATCTTAGAAGAGTGCAACTGTTTACAAAATATTCTAGACATGTCAAAAGTGTTTGTCTTTATTAGTGGCATGAACCCTAAATTAATGTCTACAATATCAAGTAATTTAATGCCTGTGATAAACAATAATGACAAAATAAGCAAATACAGAACGTTGGCAGATTATGATTACATGTACAAAAAGCCATTAAAAGACATTCAAGACATGTGCATTTCTTGTAGCAAAGAAGGAAAGGAAAACAAAGATATCAACTTGTGTTTGCAAGATTTCATCATTAATGTAAAATGTCATAAAGAAAGCTACTTCAAACAATTACAACATATTTGTTCTCAAAATAAAAAAAACATAAAATCTATAAGAATACTTAATACAAATATTTGTACTCTACAGGAAATTATCAATTTGTTAACACTTTCTCACCTTCCACATATAGAGAAATTATGCTATAGAGGTAAACTTGAAGATGAGGATATAATTAAGTTGTTATTGAACCCTTTAAGGTGTTTACTTGTGATGTCATGTGAATGGAAAAATCATAAGTTTGTAGGAAGACGTTGCCGGCTGTCTGCAGAGATAAATGGAAGACTGGTAAAATTACAACACCTGGAGTGTTTATATATAGACGGTTTCACTATGACCCACGAGGTAATGGAGACATTGTTAAATTTCCTCACTAGTAAAAAATCAATGAAAGAAATAAAATTGTACAGTTTATACTGTAGTGATCATGATACTTCATGTAGGGGATTCAACCTTGACCTGTCTCAACATTCACAACTAAGAAATTTAGGATTGAGCTATATACCTGTGTCACAATTAAACATGGATGTATCGTTGTTAGAGAAATGTGTTGTAAGGAAATTATATAAACCTGGTGTTGTGTCATCTTATCTCAGTCAACTACAAGCAGCCAGTAAACTACAAACATTTGTGTGTAGTGATCTAGAATCTTCCAGTGACATAGAAACAATGTTACAAACATTATCATTGTTATATCATGTGAAATATGTTCAGTTGGCTAGAATCAATCTAGGTGAAAGATCATTAACACTGTCACCTCAAATGATCAATATTGAACTTGTTTTCTTGTATTATATAACAATGTCTTGTTCAGTGTTACATGATCTCATTACTGTTATAAACAAACTACCACATACAGTGACAGTATGTATGGCAGATTGTGATATAAAACCAGAAACAGAATTTGAAAAGTTTAAAACTTTTATAAAACAATCAGACAATTTTATGGTCACCTATGATGGCACCTTGAAGTCTGGAGTTTACAGGTTTGAGTTTAAAACATCAACAGCAAGTACTTAGTAACCTTAAATGAACTTGGAGAAACAATTTATAAATAGATTATGAGACTAATGACAGGTGAAATAGACATCATTTTATTTAATCAATATTCTCAGGTGAATGTTTTATAGTAAGGATATGAATGGAATGAAAAAAACATTTACGTTTTAAACTTTATACATATTTTAGCTAGATATGAAACTAGAGTGCATTTAATAAAAACAGGGAATTATTCTTAATGAACACACAATGGAAGTATCCTCATTGATCTTTTATGTGGAAAGGTTAAAGGTTAGTAGTTTTTACTCTAATATTTTTACTGTGTTTTAGCTAAGATTTTCAAAGTATGCATTTATCTGGATATAATATTTTTAAATTTTTATGCATTTGCAAAAGAATTTATCTAGAATGACAAGAATCTTGCTAAAAGATAGTATATGCTCATACATGAGTAAAACATTTTTTGCAAAAGATTATTTAAATGTATAAAATTCTTACTGAACATGTCTTATTTAAAAATAAAAGAACATATAAACCAGTTTTTTAATGACACTATATATTCATAGAGTGTTTACTTAAAGTGTGTAGAAATTAAAGCATAACATATTTACTTTGTGTAAAGCCATAGCATCTTAATTTTTTTTAAGAGACTATGTGTACCAATTAGTATCACATTTTTGCATGACGGTATATAAGTGGGTTATGTAAAAGACCTAAAGCTAGTGTTCACTCTACACACAATGTAAAACAGTACAGTACTTATAAAATTGAGTACAGCAATTAAAACTTTATTTACAGTGAATATTTTTTTCTTGGTTTCAGTGCATTCAAATAGATAATATGTACATGCACTACTCAAACTGTGACCTGTACTACATACCAAGTAAGTCATCTGTACATGTACCTCTATTTGCTTTAAAACATTTTTGTCCAATAGTAAATAATGTAAAACTGTGACAACACAGTTTATATGCTTTTGCACAATTTTAGCTCGTCTGTTGACAGAAGATAAAGTCGTGTACTTTTGATTGCCATCGTTTTCGTCAAGCAAAACTTTAAGCCAAGTTTAAGGTATCAATATGAAACAATGGAATACTTACTTATCATGACAAGGTGCTATTGTTAGAAAAGGGGCATAACTCTGAAATTTATAAAATTGGAGTAATGCCCTTTTCAACTAAACTTTTATTCAAGAGGTGATTGTAACATAAGTTTTTGGCGCATTGATTGTCCCCGACCTCCCGCAACCCCCCCCCTCACCACCTAACAACACCCTACCTCTAAAACTAATGTTTCATTGTAACATTTTAATATTTGGTATAATTATGCTTTTAATAAAAAATGATACATATAAGTACTAAATATTTATATATAACTTTTTTCGGAGGGATGAAGGAATTTGATTTAAAAACATATACCAAATAGAGTGGGTGAGGGGGGTGGGGCCAAGGGGTAGTGACCAATCAACGCGCCGAATACCTATGGTTTTTAACAGGGTTTTTAAGCATAGGTTCCTGGCTGATTCAGTTAGATATGTAAACACAAAAATTAAATTGTGCTCTATAGTTAGGATATAATAACTGTTTAGGATGCTACGTTTAATGTCTTTTCATCTTGAACATAAATCTTGCAATTTTCTTTATTTCAGAGGATGATTATACCGTGTCTGTATACCAGAAATATCTTTGAAAGTCCACTGGGTTTGTCATGACGGCACAATTTTTGTCTGCGGTGATGAGTGTGATAAATTGGTTTGTTTTAGCATTGTGATAATGATAAACATTTTATGGATGTTACTGATTTGTTAAACAGTTATGATAATGAGACAATCGCATAGATGCCAAAAACTACAATTTGATGCTCTCATTGGATGACAGACCTTGATCTTCAACAAAAATAGAAGCTAATTGAAATGCAAAGTTTAAATTCATCAGTGAATTCCTTGAAATACTACAAAAATGTTAAAAGTAATGAAGTACCTGTGTGGTGTGTTCGGAATTCTTAGTATCAATATAGAATCATAATGGTTATAAATTACCGTAAATTAAAGTTTACACGTTTATGTTATGATATTTTCTATATAAATTTTACTCTGACATACACTAGTGCATTGTATATTGTAAAAGTTTTATCATAAATATTATATAAATATTAATATTTTGTAACTGTCCTGTGAGAGAAACTTGCAGCCTGACCGAGACACAGACACAGTACCTTGGATATAACATTCGTACCTTCGATATAACATTCGTACCTTCGATATAACATTCGTACCTTCGATATAACATTCGTACCTTCGATATAACATTCGTACCTTCGATATAACATTCGTACCTTCGATAAAACATTCTGAAGCACTGCCGTATGAGCTCGCCGATCACTGGCACCTTGCCTTTAGTTCTAGTTTTAGTTCTATACTTGTTATTATAGTAATGACTTATTATAGTAATGACTAATGATATCGGGGATTTTGGAATTTATTGTGATTATAATATTTCTTTCTCCACGAAGCTCATGCATAGACGTGAACAGACATGTTGAATTACAGTCTATCATGAATTAATTGTAAATAATATTACATTCATCATACTATGTACATGTATATAATATAACTTGAAATGTGTTCATCTTTTATGACTGTTATCTCAGGAAAGCAATATTTTGTACAGAATATTATATGTGAGTATATTTCAAAGTTTTATGTTTGAAATGAAAACATCATTGCAACATATCAAATCATGTCACAAGTATAGCTATGCCATTATTGAATGAATTCGAACATAATGTAGCTCTGTTTTATAGTAGTTCAAAGTGTGTGTACGAATTCTTATTTATCATTTATTTATTATTATTATTGTTAACTTTCAAATATATCTCACAGAGTAAAGTGATTAACAAACATTTATATGGTTCAGTTTAAAACAAACGTATTCATTAGAAGTAAAAAAACTGATATTTTATAATTTTTCAATGTTATATATATATTCATTGTTGATAATGTTTATATGTATGCTTATTTAAAACTGTTTGATTTTATTTAATGATAATGTATGTCAATACTTGAAATTGCCATATTAATTAACAAATCTGGCTGCTGAACTACTGCATTACAAAAAATGATTGTAACGGGAGATATATCTCTTTGCTAATTTAGCAATTACCGGTATAGTAACCAGCAACACAATATATTATTCAATTAACCATTTAAAGATCCTGTATGTTGTAATAAAGGATGTGAGATCAATTGAGTGAAATTTTATTTATGTCTATAATCTTTCTTCTAGAATATATTCAAAACATCAAAGAATATGTTAAATATGTACTGCAAAAGTTTATACGCTTTATAAGTAATCATTGAAATACATGCATTCATTTCTTATTGAAATATTTGGATTAGACTTTTTCAAAAGTCATTTGAGTTACAGGATCTTTAAACATGGGCGGATTTGGAACACCGTTAGCTGTGGGAGGTTACATCTGGGAGAAATAATTTTACAAAAACAACAGAAAACAATATGACAGGCGAAAAAGTGTGCACGTGTTTGACAATTAAGCCAGAATATTGTACATGTGACAAAATTGTAGTATTATTGATGTCTATTATAACTTATCCTTTATAATGAGTGGCAATGCACTTTTTATATATTGTTCATTAAACACTATTTGTATATGTATTAGAAAAAACTTATTTGCGAAAGCAGAAGCTATAAACGAGCATTGTTTAAGGCTGTCCGGTGACAATAAGTTGTCGTTCATTTTACTAATACTGAAATTTTAAAGTGTGCTGCAAAATCCTGTTTCAATATTCTTAAAATTAGAACGAACTTGTTGTTTTCCTGAGAATTGTATTCCTGAGAGTCTCTTATAATGTTACTTTTAAAATATTAAAGATTTTGCCTAACATATGTGAGGGCTTTACATTAGGTTACTGAGAAATGTTACTAATCAATGTATTTATAAGGATTCCAATGGTGATAATGTTTTAATAACATTTTTAATGTATGATATTTGTACTAAACTCTCAAGGTCTCTGGAAAAAGGTATACAAACTCATGGTTAACAATAAGTAATTAACTAATATTTTTTGACAAATACAATTTACTTAAATTTTTAAGTTTTTCTGTTGTTTTATATGTTTATATTTTTTCTTATCTTTTCAATGATGTGAAATAATGTTATCAAGAAAAGGATTTTATAAGTGCTAATAGGTCTAATTAATTTGTGATAATGTTCTTAAGTAAGAGAACATTACTAGGGTTATCACTATTAAGCAATTTTACCAAACATTCTTTCAGAACAAGATTAGCAATAGTTTCTTCTTTGAATATTGAATGAGAAGAGAGGTAACTCTGTAAGTCATATTGGAAATCCTTGCAGAGTTGCCTCCCTTCTACTACATGTATCAGTCTGTTGTAATTTAGTGCACATTATTGAATTATTTTATATAATACTATGTATGGATGGTGTTAAATAAAGTTTATAATATATGCATGTTTTACTTGTAAGTACATTGATCAATAACGCTTAAATGAAGAATAAATGTATGTGTGTGAGGGATGTTTTCTGCGATATACTGAGAAAATTCCAAATCTGATGTTGAAAATGGTGTTATTTCCTTGACTTTCTAGTGCTTTTTATGTAACTGATAGTTTCCGAGAAAAAACATCCTAACAAAACGTTTAACCAGGACGAAAAAGGGGCATAACTTTGCAAAACATAATTTAGGATTACATTCCCTTTTGAAACATGTATAGAAAGTTTTAAATAGTTTCAGAAAAAATGGACCTTAGCGAAAAAATTAACCAACATCGTCGAAAAGTGGAGCTAAAGCGTATTTTTTTTATTCTATTACAGATCTCCTATAATAGACTACTTCCCTTTAACAATTGAATTTCATTGAAACGATATAAAATAAGGTTTTTATCAACCTGTGGGGAAATTGTCTTCTTTAAAAAGCTATTCTAGGAAGACTATTGGCAAAATAGAATCAAATACCCAGTAGAACATTAAATCACTAAAAATAATGTTGAAGAAAATAACTCAAGCAATGCGTTTTATCTCCGAGATTCATTTTAAAGGGTAAATTCTGTTTTGAAAATGAGTTCATTTTATGTTATGTTTAAACCAAAATATATTGCCCTGTTCAATTAACTAATTAATATAATGTATATGCAATGGCCTGGATTTAAAAGTATACAAGCATTGACACATGAAAATTTATATTCATCCGTAATTATTATGTACTTCAGAATGCAAACCTCAAATGTTCGATCATTTGATTAATACATTTTCTTGAGGCGCTGGTTCGATGAAAGTTCCCTGTTACCATGGTTGCAATTAATCTCGGACATTGAGTCTAATGGTCATTTGTCTTTCGTCGCTGATTTAGCAATCATGTTGGGAATAGTAGCCGGTCACTTGAGCAGAAGTTGTTTATCACTGAGAGCCGGTAAGGCGGGTCACCCGACGAGATATGTCCAAAATCTGGTATAATCGGCTTAAAAAACACACAGAAAGTAACCAACAAACATAAAGATTATGGTACACTATGGAACTTCTGATGTATAACGAAATTTTAAATCTTTGAGCAATACGATCTGAAATCTAGCTAGCCATCTAAAGGACACCATTTCTTTTCTTTTTACGCTGTCAGTCACCTCTTTTGTAAATCCCCCCTACCATGTCATCTCGCTCACAGCGCAAATAGTAATCATGTATGTGCTTCGAATTACAATATTCAAAATTCTTAAACGTTCGCTGATCTGTCAACGTCAGAACCCACGGGCTAATGAAGTGTACACCTAACGAGTGCACATGTATTACGAAATATGTTGATCTGTTTGCATGAAAAATATAAATGCTTCTAAGCATTGAAAAACGGTATATTAAAATTGAATCGGCCAATTTTCTGCTGTGAACGACGTTTTGTTTCATGCAATATTGAAATATTCCAGACTCTAGGGAATTGTTCTTGTTGACACCACTTAACAACAGAGCAATGGTTAATTACAAAAGGGAAATACATGGACAAATCGATTTGGCTTAAACATGCATATTATAAAAATATGTGGAAGAACTGATGATTAGATGGTATTAAAATAATGTAGTCAAATATGCCAATTAAGATGTTCTAAAGGGAATGGAATACAGTGTATTTTTGACATTTGATTTTAAATAAGGTACTTTTGGATTGTGATTTTTTTAATAATCCAGCACAAATCTAAACAATAGACTTGAGAGTTTCTCTGAGTGGTTAATCACATAACATTCGTTGAAAAATATGTGCAGGGTAAAGTTTACATAGTTAAAGCACAGATACATGTATATAAACATCATTTCCGATTAAATGTTAAAATATTTCCTGAATGACAGCTTCCTAGATCGTATCATGTATCATACAAAACATGTATTGTATTAGTTTTCTATAAATAGCAGTCATCAAAATGTTATAAATAATTCAATAATGACTTTTCGTGGAATGGCACGTGTCATATTAAATGTTCCATGATAACCGTCGTATGAATTCATCTGCTCAAATGTATTTTCAAGACGTTGAATTTTGAGTAAAAAAAATCTGGAAACAAAGTCGGTGCCTTTCGCGAGCATTTAATACTAACGTCCATGAATAGGTTCAATAAAATAGCATGCAAAATTTTTAATTTTGCCCTTTTAGACGTTTTTAAGGCATTTTTCCCGTTTATAGAACACAATTTAGTTCTAAAATGTCAAAGGCTGTCTTTTTACACAGTTTATACTCATGTTTAAGACTTTCCATCGTGGTTTATATCATTATTACTTATAAACCTCTCGTTCATCTATAATAATCACGATTCAAGTTGTAGACTTTGAATCTATTCTATAAAATAGAGCCCTGTCACGACAAAACAAACATAATGGGTTTGCGCCCAGCATAGATCCAGACCAGCCTGCGCTTCCGCGCAGTCTGAGCAGGATCTAAGCTGTTCGCTTACAAACCTTATAACAAGTAGAGAAACTGACAGTGAACAGCATGGATCCTGTCAAACTGCACGGATGCGCAGGCTGGTCTGCGTCGATGCTGGTCGCAAACCCATTATGTTGGTTTTGTCGTGACGAGGCTCAAATTAAGTCTATAAATGTAGTCTATAAATTTACTCTGTAAATGTTGTCAACGTAGTATATGAATATAGTCTTTAAATGTAGTTAACGTAGCATATGCCATATTACGTCAAATTAGCCAGCAGTAAATATGTCTTATCTGCCATTTGGTTTCTTTGTATTTTCAATGTTTAAAAAATGATATAAAAATAACAAAGTATTGAGCTACAATCGGCGTCACCATGGCTCATATTTAAAATATTGTAAGTCAAATATATGGGGAGAAATTAATCAAGCAACTCATATTGTTCATACAGAAAATTTATTTTCTCTTTGATTAAATATGTCATAACAATTAACATT